AAAATACAGACTAAAGCCGAAAATCAGCCCTGCAGTTTTACTTCATTATTAGCACACAAGCACACAAATTTGCAATGCTTTTTGCGAATGTTCGTTGGAAAGATTGTTTTTCGGGAAACACAGACTCGTTGAACTATGCTGATGACGACGGAACTTGCGACCATAGTTGGCTAAGGAAACGCACCCCAGTTTAGAGTTCAGGAGATTGTCTTAACCAGGACCACACCCTTAAATGCATTGAAGCAACTGCCATGTGATTGGTTGATTAGATAATTGCATGAATGAGAAATTGAACAGGTGTTCCTAATAATCCTTTAGGTGAGTGTACAGTGCAACCACAACCACACCTTCACATCAACATTGCAAGCTCTGTAGCTGTTAATTAAAAAAAAAAATTGCTCCCATAAATTTAAATAAAATAAAATTTAAATTAGCTACAAACATCCATATTTTCAGTTTTCAGATCTAACTAACATTATAACCATCAAAGTTAAGTCAGTTAAATCAAGTATTTTAAATATATATATATATGAAGAGTTCAGATGCAAAAGCCTCTAAATGCCATTTGAAATTTTCTTCTTTAATGATGATTTTGAACTAACTTGTATATTTAAGTTCAGTAATTTCACTTAAATAACAATTAATAGGTAATTATCATTGCCATTTAAGTGAAATCACTGAACTTATATATACAAGCTTGATGAAAATGATCATTCTAGAAGAAAATTTCAGGCTTTTGCATCTGAACTCTTCATATATATACAGTACTGTATATGGCATGCACACCGATTTATATATAAATGGGGGGAAAAAATTGCACTCTTCTTTTCTTTGCATTGTTCGAGTTCTGAAAACATGGCATCTTTTTTGTTACTTTGCCCCGTTGTCACTTTCTGCAAATAAATGCTCTGAAATTACAATGTTTTTACTTGAAATTTGGAAGAAATGTTAGTAGTTTATAGAATGTGTGCTTGCATGCGTGTTTGTGTGTGTCGGGCAATTAAATTCTGATTTAAATGATCATATATATATGCACTTATTAATGTAGTAGAGTATTATACACCGGTTTTCGAGAATAAAAGAAAGAAGTGCATATGTTTTGTTTTTTGTTTGTTTTTTCAGCATAAGAAACTGAGGGGAATAAGGCAGTAATGATAAAGACCACGTAATGTAATTTTCTCTAACTGAACTACAGAACTTTCATGGTCAATTTGAACTCAAGCAAGCATTTAAATCTAACAGCTCAGATAATACTGTAAACGTACAGGTTACTCAACCATCATTTGATCATATACATCTATTATTATCTCTGCGCATGCACAGAGGTAATTCAATGTTTAATGAAGAAACACAGGGGGTTGAGGATAAGCGTTCTCGATTAAATATAGGCTACAGCACACATGTTGGGCCAGGACAAAGACATCACAGATCGTAATCGTGTGAGTCATGCTAATATGACCTTTAAAAGTCCTAAAACACATATAGTTCTGGATCAGAGCTGATCCCGGTCCAAGCCGACGGAGCTGCTAATCTGTGTTTAGCTGGTGAGTCAACAGCAACTCCTGACTTTGGCTGATGATGAGAGAATTACAACATAATTACATTTGACTTTAATTGGAGATCACGAGAGCATCGCCTACTGTCTGCCAACAACTTTCATTTTTTCAAAGGGTGATTTTAATGAAGCATTAAATAATCAAAACAGCCCTCAAGGCACAAAGAATCGTTACAAAACTATCTCACTTTAGCATCGATGAATGACGGTTTCTTTCCTAAACATCCGCAGGGCAAACTTTAAAATCACACGGTCATATAAAACTTTGGATATTTATAGCATCCTCCATGGAATCCATGAGATATTGGGGCTTACTGGGCACAGACTGATCTGTCATCATTCTTCATCAAACTTGCATTACTTTCTTTTTCGTTTGGTGGAAAACAAAAAGAGATGACTCTTTTCCAGAAATGTGAATGAGGATGAACTCCATCAAACTTTAAAATGGCAAAAGCACCATGAAGGAATCATAAAAGCTGTCCATGCAACCATTCCAAAGTCTTCTTCAGCTTCAGTAAAATATCATAAAGACCTGAAGCAAATATATAGCCAACCAGATTTGATGCAGATATATAGCTCATTTTGTAAATATTATCTCTGAATATAAAACCTCGTCTGCTTTACAGACGGCACTCGAAGGATCAATGAGACCTCATATGCATATCAATCAATGTCTCCCATTTCTTACCTTCAAAACATTGATATTTTAAACTTTGGGTTTTCACTGTTTGATGCAACAATTGAGGGATCCGGCTTTTAACTACTCCGTGAAATGGTTTGACAAACTCAGTTTTCTTAATGATCTCTCTCTCTCTCTATTCTACTGAAATAAGAAGTCAGGAATCATCTATAAGACCTTGTAAGTATAAGTAAAAGTAAAAAGTAAGTACTTGTCCCTCTATTCAAATAATCAGTTTGTCACAGCCTTGTCAAATCACGGTTGGCTAGTTATTAAACCAATCATGAAAGTTGCATTTTATTCAGTTGGACAGGTGTGTTGAAATACCACTTAAGCTGTGTTCACACAACATGTGACCAAGCGACACGATAGGCTACCATTCATTTTCAATGGTGAGCGGGCGACATCCGGCGACATGCGCGGTCGCAACCATTGGCGACTGGATGGGGCGTGTCTGGCGACGCGACAAAGTTGAGAAATTTTTAATGCAAATGCAGAGCGACTTTCGGGAGCGACAACCAATAGGAGTAAAGTCAGTGGAGTCAGCACTCTTCAGTGCTCAGTCTGACCGAGGCAAGTTGAACGAGAAGCTCATTTTAGCCGCCAGAAACTGTCCTATAATTGTTTTTTTTCATGAGAAGTCTCATGAAAGTGCGTAGGATACCACGATTGTCATTTCTCGTGTCCAAAAATGTTTTTTGCGTGCAAATGCTACGCACTGAAAACCCCTGGGTAGGTTTAGGGGGAAGGGGGTGATATGCACGCAAAAACCGTGTACCATATACAGTACACGCAAAAACTAGTTTTGGCGTATAAATGGCACGAGAAATAACATTCGTGCTATAGATACGAACTTTCATGAGATCGGGCTGAATTTTTGATATATCTCCGTGTATACAGTGGTGTTCACCGTACTGACTCCGTGACTGAATGGTTTCGGGATCCCAGATAGACTGGTATTTGTCCGCTTGCTGCAGTTAAATAGCCACGATGGCAAAGAGCACTCACTGTTTCTCGTTCATCTTTAATATTATGCATTTTATGTACAGTTTACTCCATTTATATTAAGACTTTTCCTTCCAAAAAAAATGTTTGTAGCAGCAATGAAACATATTTGTTGTCTAACATTACTAACTCACAAACATTACTACACTCTAAAAAATGCTGGGTTGTTTTAACCCAATTTTGGGTCAAATATGGACAAACCCAAAATGTTGGGTTAAAAATGTAATGTAAAAATTTAACCCAACGGCTGGGTTAGTCCATATTTGACCCAAAGTTGGGTTAAAACAACCCAGCATTTTTTAGAGTGTAGGCAACCAGTAGTGGGATCGCCCTCCAGCGCAGCTACTGGCGACCTGCAGCGACAAAGTCGCGTGTAGTGTGAACGCAGCTTTATATGTAGCCTACACTCTTAGAAGAAAAGGTTCTATATGGAACCTTAAAATGAACCCCAGGGTTCTATATAGAACCCTTACAAAGGTTCTATCAGCGCTATGTATTTGGAACCCCTAAAAGGTTCTATACACTCTTAAAAAAGGGTTCCTCTGGGTTCTAGAACCCTGGGGTTCCATACTTGGCCAATAGAACCTATTACCAAAAAAAAGGTTCTATATAGAACCATTTTGGAGTTCCATATATGAAGCGGGGAATGGAACCATTTCTGGTTCTAAATAGAACCATTTCTTCTAAGAGTGTAGATTCTTCTGCAAGGGGTGTAAACTCATTAGCAGAGTTGCTTTTGACTCAAGTGATAAATCTACTGTATGTATCTGCTAAATGTGTGTTAGAGTAAGAGAATAAAAATAAAGGGGGGGAAACAAACAATTAAAACCACAAAACACAGATAAAAAAAAAATCGAATTCATTGCTTAAAAGTGATATATATGGAAGCCCATTGCACTGGAATAGTCGAGCCTTGGTAAATCATAATTATTGCATTAAAAGTCAAACATTAGACATGTTATATTTTTTAGATGAAAAGTAGAAATTCTGACTTAAATCTCGTGTCAAAATAACATGAAAGAGATGAAAGAGATGAAATTATGATATACTGTAGTGTGACATGCTTATGAGATTAAAAAGTAAACATTATGACTTTGCCTTTTTAAGCCATGATTTCGACTTCGTATGTACATTTCTACATTGCCATAATTATGACTTTTATGTCAATTTCAATTTTCATGTCATATGATTCGGTCATCATTTCGACTTTCAATATGATTTTGATTAACAGCATTTTATTTGACTTATGTGGCCAAAAAAAAAGGGCTTCCATATGCTGTTGAACTGGATTTTACAGAAGATTATATCCACAGGAAAAATATCTAACGATCAACTGAAGTATTTCTCAAGAAAGAGCTTTTGAGTAGAGAAAGAGGAAAATAAAGAAAATTTTGGAATATTTATTGCCAGATTTTCTCGTGCATGCCAAAAATCAACATCTACTCAAATCTAAGTTGTGACATCAAGTGAAATGAACCCCTCTGTTAAAATACAACTGTTGTGATAAAATTAAAATGAATATTTAAACAAATTAGATTTCACCCGGTTATAACAGACACATGAAAACGCAGATCCTTTAAAGTGCCTGCAAGTAAAGAGTAGAGATTGATGAATCAACACTTGTTTGAGTAGTAGAGTTGAGACCATGCAGCCTATCCGCTCGCAGCACAGATCTTCAATCATTGAACCAGTAAACCACAACCACCCCCAGACGCGTGACGTGTGATCGCTGCTGTCCATCCGCGACGCTCCTGAATCGCTCGCATCGCAACAACCGGTGGATGCAACACGTCTCTCGGACTCACTGGTGCTGAAGCTGCGCGCACTCGGAAGATTCCAGCATTCCACAACCCATCACATCGACACTATGGATCGTGATGCCTTTTATCGCCTGATGAAACTTCCCTTCGTTTTGTTTTTCCGCTTTAACCATCACGCTCGTGATTTGTTCGTGCAATTTAATGTTCGTGGGAATCAGTAACCTGAGGTATTAACTCGGTTTTTTGGTAGTTATGATTGTCAATTTGACTCGCGCGCAACTGCGCTCCATAAACTGACGCTTTCATTTAGTTGCACTCCAGCTTCACCAAAAAGCGCAGAGAGATTTCTGGAGTGAATCGCCTTATAAACGCGCAACTGGAGCAGAACCAGTGCCATGGGTAAGAACATAAAGCAAAGAAACATTTCTGTTGGTTTGCTAAATGTCCGTGCTCTCGCATTTAAGTGCGTAATGACAAACAGCCTCTCATGTTCGAAGCGCATGCAAATCATTGAACTTGAATCATCTGGTGCAAATTAGATACTTGTGTGTTTTTGGGCGCGTTTATCGATTATGGATTTGTGCGTGGGTTTTGCCTGCATTTTGATGGTCAATCAATTTCTCCATTCCTGATTTCAGTCGTGTTCTTTTCCACCTTCCTGGGCATTCATCACTAGACCACAAGCATTAACGCAAACGCCTTTTAATTTATAGTGAATTATGGAGCTAAAATGATTCTGGACTTTTACATTTCTTTATCATGCGAGATTTTATGAATTTATGAACAAAAGCATCTCTTTTTCTTGTTTCATATTGTTTCAAGGGTGTATTTTTCTAATTATTAATGAACATTGATCAACAGAACACAAATACTTTCTTTTCTTTACTGAGAGTGTTGCCCACAGTAACGAGTGCGGCAGTAGATGATGCAGGTGCTACATTTAGTTGATCAACATCGTCTCCTTTTTGCTATCACTAGTTTATTTTTTTATTTGAGCACAACCATTTGTCATGCTACAAGACTATTTAAACTGATCTGAATGCAGAAAGGTGACATGCTTTATTTTAATTTCATATACATTGTAACCTAAAAAAACGATAATTATCCATAAAGTTAGTTATTTTAAAGCTGCAAGCAAGCATAATAATAAAAAAAATAAAAGAATGACCAGTACATTGCTTTTGGCACACCCTATTAAAAGCTCAGAAATGCTTTATGATAGGTCTGAGTCTAGTGGAAAGGAAGCTTTTTACAGTGTTGTAATTGGTCTCTTGCGGCAGTCCAGAGGAACATGATAGACTTTGTCTTTGTAATTTGCATTCTGGATGGCATTCAGCAGTTGCTAGGATTCATAATGGTAAATCCTTGTGCTTTACACTGAAATCCAAAATTACCTCAATCATCATTTGAATCAGTGGCCATGTTACAATCAATTAAGGAAGTGCATTAGAGAGCGGCTCCATCTGTGAACCCTGCTGATTCTTTACTGAATAAGGTATAAATAGGAGCACGTCCTGGAGCATGTTATGTTACTCAGACTTCATCGATATAAATCACTTACTAAACAGAACTATATTCTGCTTATCCCCAGATGCATTGATGCCTCATTCAACACTCTAATATATATATATATATATATATATATATATGAAGAGTTCAGATGCAAAAGCCTCTAAGTGCCATTTGAAATTTTCTTCTAGAATGATCATTTTTATCAAGCTTGTATATTTAAGTTCAGTGATTTCACTTAAATTGCAATGATAATTACCTATTAATTGTTATTTAAGTGAAATTACTGAACTTAAATAAACAAGTTTGATAAAAATCATCATTAAAGAAGAAAATTTCAAATGGCATTTAGAGGCTTTTGCATCTGAACTCTTCATATATAAAAAACATTATTAGTTCCACAAATTATTCCAGGTAACGGAGGCCAGCTTGTTTGAGCTTTGTGAGTAAACCTCACTCCCCTCACCTCAAGAGATGCACTATAGCGACTTTTGTTATCGTCCATCTCCAATGCCGGAAATGCCGGCTCGAATCCTGCTCAAAGTGGAGCGAGATGAACCGAAGGGGTTACATATGGGGATTTTGTTAAGGTTTTGAACTTTATATCACATTCTTTAATCATTTGGATAATCTATGTTTTTAATTATGAATAAAAACCTGCTTAAAACCAATTTGTATAGCCAATTTGGTCAGCTTGAGCTAAACCTGCGATTAAATTGGAAAAAAAGAGAAAAAGGCATTTATTTCTCACCATCATGTCGTTCCAAAACACAGTAAGGCTTTCATTCCTCTTCAAAACTCAAATTAAGGTATTTGAATGGAAATCTTTCTATCCTTTCACTGACAGCTCATACAACCAAGTTCATAAGGAGATCATAAAACTAATCCATATGAATTGAATGGTAATTTTCTGAAGAGACTCGATTGCTGATATAATTTAGGCTTTAATTCACATATAAATATTGATCATCAAACATAAACAGAAGCTCAACCGGACATGATTGACGCACGAGAATTAACCTTATTGGTTCTTGCTGAAGTTCAAACGTGCTGCGTAACATGAGAATGAACCTCATTGGTTCATGCTTGAGCTTCTGTTTACCATATCCGATGTGTTTATTCATATGGATTAGTTTTACAATCTCTTTATGAACTTTTTGAAGCATCAATGTTGTAGTTGGAGTGTCAATGGAGGGACAGAAATCATTCAGATTTCATTAAAATATCTTCATTTGTTTTTCTACGATGAACAAAAGTCAGGTTTTGTTCAGGTTTGGAACGACATAAATGATGACAGAGTTTTTGGCTGAACTAACCCTTTAAGTTGAAGTAAATGCAGAAAGATCTCCAGCCATCTATGAGAGGAGCATGTGAAGTTCTCCTACAGAAACTAGACCTGATAACCATGCAGAGAATCCCCTAATTGGCATAATGTGTGGAACTGAAGATCATTCTAGAATGTTAAATGAAAGAATTTACTTGGCAAATACTCATTATCACTGGGACCATTTTAAATCTCAGAGCCATACAGCGTGTTAAATTAAGTATGTTGACATGAAAAATGCATTTTCAAACCACAGATATGTTAATTTGAGCAAACACTTAATGTATGCCAGAATAACTATGAGAAAACACCATCTGATAACTGCATGCTCTATCAAGATGAATCTAATTTAATATTATTAACAAAATGCATTATCTTAAGAACTCCAGGGCAAAGAGGGGCTTTGTCCATATGGCACAAGTCCAAGCACATTAGGAATATTCGAAAATTCCAGTCATGCACACACAGTATTAAAATAGCCACAACTGCTTATTTTTGCCAGACTGTGCAGCCACAATACACTTAAAACATGCTTTATTTAATACTTTCCAGTTTTTAAAATTATTAGTTTTAACCATGATTAGGGTTAGGCTTTTTGATTATAATGCTAACATATAGTCAATTTGTTAAGCATACATTAGTTTTAAGTTACTGGTAATGCTGCCTAACTATAATGAAAGCAAATAACGATGGATTCGAAACAGCAGGCTTTCCACTGGGATAACCAGAGGTGCTCTACAGAGTAAACTTGACCTCCACGCCTCCACATTCCAGTCCTCAAAAGCCTCCTCAAAAGTGAGTGTTTCAGGAGGGGAGTAGTCCTCCACATCCCACTGCAAACTCCACTCAGCTACATTATGAAACGCCCACTTTAAACTATCCAATCAATTCTGATGGATGTAATCAAGTCCCATTTTTAGTAGCATTGAATAACCTGTTTCACTAAAACAAAAAAAAAATGTAAAGGGATACTCCACCCAAAAATGAAAACTCTGTCATCATTTACTCACCCTCAAGTTGTTGCAAACCTCTATGAGTTTCTTTCTTCTGCTGAAGATATTTTGAAGAACGATTGGTACTTTGGCACCATTGACTTCCATAGTATTTTTTTTTTCTACTATGGAAGTCAATGGTGCCAAATAACTGTTTGGTTCCAATCGTTCTTCAAAATATCTTCCTATGTGTTCAGCAGAAGAAAGAAACTCATACAGGTTTGCAACAACTTGAGGGTGAGTAAATGATGGCAGAGTTTTCATCTGTGGGTGGAGTATCCCTTTAAAGTACACACACACACTATGGAAACAAATGGCTTGTCCATTAGGTTAATGTTGGGGGGGGAAAAAAGTAATTTACCTTGCATTCGACATTCTGTGATTTGAACCCTTAACCTTGACGTTCCTTGCACCAATTGAGCTAGAAACAGCACAGAGAACAGACAAAGTTGAATGCTTGTTCATTTCAGCCTCGCCACTGACGAAAATAATTAAGTTCTCAGAAGCACATTATGTTTTCACCTTTTCCTCTAGCAAGGTTTAGTTCTCCCCTATGGCTCTCGACAAGGCTTGTATTCCAATCATATTATGATCGGATGACACAAAATAGACACAAATTAAGATTAGCTACTCCCATGAACATTAAACTGAGGATAGAAAGGAAAAACACCATAAAAAGCACTGCAAACTCATTGCAGGGCCAGTCCATTGGGAAAGGCAGTCCTCTGTGGACTGAGAGTCTGAAAAAAAGGAAACCTAGACCTCAATTGGAAAAGTGTTGGTGCACTGGGAATTGAAGCATGAGTGAAAGTTAATCTACCAAAAAGCATGTCATCAAGCAATATCCTTCAAAGTTTAAACCGGGGCTGTCAATTTAATAATAATGTTAATTGAATTAATTGCATTATACACAGTTTAATTGATTGCATAAATTAATATAAGCTGAGGAAATCTCCTAATGCATTAATTAAATACAGTTAATTGGTTTAAACACAACATGTACTATAGAGTAACTCTTGACCTTTCTCCATCTGCATTTCTGGCTGTGTTGGTGGTGATTTTGTTCTTTGGATAAAAAGACGGCAGTCTCTGCCAGCACTAAAGATGTGTACTCTTGTGCACCTGAAGACATGGATAAATGTGGCTTGTTTGACACATAAGCTTTATGTGTTTTGTTCCCCTGCTACATTATTTCTCAAACCCTCACTGCATTCATCTTGCTTCTTAATCATCTCCTGCTGAGTCTGGCCCGTGTATTACTCTCCATGTCAGGGTAATGGAACAGTGCAGGGTTCATTTGAAATATCAACTTGTCTTTTTTGCCAAAGGAGATGGCAGCTCTCGTTCTCTCGTTCGCTCACCCTCTCTCGCCGTCCTGATGTCGAAAGCCCTGTTAATGGCCTTCTGAACCACATAATCATGAACATCCATGAGTGTCCTTGAACCTCAATTAGTTTTTCTTGGGCTCCCCCCAAAAAAAGACGTCTGGTAAAAAGTGGCCTAGACATTAAATTATTCATGCCATCTTGTGCATCCATCAGATCAGAACAATGGCCCCATAGTGAGACATTGAGTGAGAGACAGGGAGAATCAACAAGAGACAAGATGAAACAGTGCTTACAACATAAATTTAGCAAAAGTAATGTGATGAATTTCAGAATGAAGCAGGAAACCCCAACTGTTTGGTTACCGACACTCTACAAAATATGGCAACACTTTAGAATACGGTTCCTTCGTTAATGAATAACTACACAAGAACTAATGAGTAACACAATATTAACAATCTAGTAACTATTATGAACTAACAAGAAACTCTGATTAACGAACTAGTAAGTAATAGCGCACAGACGAAAGTGGTAGTTCACTATTAAGTAATCAATAACTACTATTTTTTTAATACTTCCCAGAGAACTACTGAAAAAGTTTATTAACAATCTAGTAACTACTATAAACTAAAAGAAACTCGTATTAACAAATTAGTAAGTAATAGCTCACAGATGAAAGTGTTACTAGATACTTCTGTGGGAATTACTAATTATTTGGATCCGTATTATAAAGTGAAGATCATTGGAACTAACTAGTAATTACTCAAGTGTTACTAAAGACATTTTCTAAAAAATACTAAAGTTCACCAAAAATCTCAAACATTTGCACAAATCATGACTAGATCATGTAGTAACACTTGAGTAATTACTAGTTAGTTCCAATGGTCTTCACTTTATAATACGAATCCAAATAATTAGTAATTCCCACAGAAGTATCTAGTAACACTTTCATCCGTGAGCTATTACTTACTAATTTGTTAATAAGAGTTTCTTTTAGTTAATAGTAGTTACTAGATTATTAATAAACTTTTTCAGTAGTTCTCTGGGAAGTATTAAAAAAATAGTAGTTATTGATTACTTAATAGTGAACTACCACTTTCGTCTGTGCGCTATTACTTACTAGTTCGTTAATCAGAGTTTCTTGTTAGTTAATAGTTACTAGATTGTTAATATTGTGTTACTCATTAGTTCTTGTGTAGTTATTCATTAACGAAGAAACCGTATTATAAAGTGTTACCCAAAATATATTCTTTTGTGTTCAGAAGAAGAAAGTAATTCATACAGGTTTGGAACAACTTGAGAGTGAGTAAATAATTTTGGTTGAACTATTCCTTTACAAAATGGATTGTGTATTGAGGAAGTGAATAGATCAATTTACAAGTTATAATATGTAGCATGTGGACAGTCAGGAACACACACTACAGCTTCGATAAAACTTTCCCTCCATGGTGGCTGTGCTTTTAAAAACAGCCTTATCTGCTCTTGATTTTAACCAGTTAAGTGAGAGGAAAACCTTAAGCGAATCAGCTCTGAAAATCTTTATCCTCTAATGACTCACAAATGTTTAATTTGCTCATTGATTTTTTTTTTAACAGCCAGACCTGGAGATTGATTGCAGAGGTTCACATGCAGTCTTTTTTTTTTTTTTCTTCTTAGTTGAAGTTTTTTTTTTTTCCTGTTGTACCAATTTAATAACAAGCAAGAGAAAATGTTCCAAATCCACTGAGTTGCTCATGAAATACCCGAGAGAAAAAACTATCCATATCTCAGTGAGAGTGCAGCTCTCGTCGAATATTTTGCCCCCAATTAATAGAACGTGTAGTATTAATGGGTCATATAATTATTTAAAGAATGTTGTCTTCTGAGGCAGCTGTAAGCAAGCCTACCCGGTTGTGCGGTCTCATGTTGGAAGAATTACCACATTCTTATGGGATCTTTAGACGATGTCGCTAATGATCTCTGCGGCTAAGGGAAGTGATGTGCTTTCAATACCATGTCTCTGTTCCAGTAACTAGTCAGCAGGATACGGGTGGCCTTTAGCCACAGAACGAAACATATTTACAGCCCCAATAGGACACTGTTATATAAAATTGATTACTGTGTAAACCGTTTGGTATGCCCCATTACTGTCGCACATCTCTTCTTGTTAAAGCGTCAGCGCAAAGCAGCAGAACAGCAGGAATCGTATTTGTCATGTGTTCCTTGCTAATGACACAAACAAACTTTGAGACGGGTGACCCTGGCGTTCCCTTTCTCTCATTCCTAATTTAGCATGGCGCATAAGATGCATTCAGTGTTAGGCTGCTTTGAGCTACATAGATTGTGAAGGCATGCTATTTTTAATCTCAAATGTTTAAGCATTAGTTCAATCTTTTGAGGGGGTGTGCAAGCAACGACGTACCGTACTGCTCCGTGCATGTGTTAGACGTATGCTGATTAGCTCCGCTCTGATAAGTGGAGCTCATTGATTTCCATTCATTTAAAATGCTCTCTTCGCTTCCCACTCACTTCCATTTTGTCTGAAACCAGGGTACATTAAAAGGTGTAGCGCTAAATGATGGATAAATCCACTCGAATCCTTGTATTCAATTAGCGGGCCCCCAGTGCGATTTTTCGATGTCATGCATTATGTCTTAATAGCTCGAAAACACTCGCCACACTCTGCAGGATGTCCCCCATCCATCACAGTCACGAATCGTTATCCTTGATGATAAAGGTGAGGGCGTGCATAATGGATGTGCTCGGTCACCTGCAAACCTGTGATCTCTAGGGTGAATACTAAAACTGACCTCAAATGTTGTCTGTCTGTGTGTCTCTCTGCAGGGCCCTTACTCTGGGAAGGGCGCCTGTCGTGTTTTCTTCTCCATGCGTCTGTTCTCCTGCTGCTCAGCAAGGGGGAGCGGATGTGCCCTGTGAGTTGCCGCTGCGAAGGCAAGATTGTTTACTGCGAGTCTGGCGCCTTTCAAGACGTCCCGGAGAACATCTCTCAAGGGTGCCAGGGTTTATCCCTGCGGTACAACAGCATCTTGTTGTTGCTACCTTACCAGTTTGCTCACCTCAACCAGCTGGTCTGGCTCTATCTGGACCACAATTCCATCAGCGAAGTGGACAGACTGGCCTTCCAGGGACTTCGTCGGCTAAAGGAACTGATCTTGAGCTCTAACAAGATTGTGCAGTTGCAAAATGGCACCTTTGAGACTGTCCCGAACCTGCGCAACCTTGACCTGTCCTACAATCAGCTGCAGGACTTGATACCAGGGCATTTCCATGGACTCCGCAAGCTTCAGAATCTTCACCTGCGATCAAACAACATCAAAAGCATCCCCGTCCGCACGTTTATGGAGTGTCGGAGCCTGGAGTTTCTAGATTTGGGATACAATCGCCTGCGGACTATCACCCGTACGACCTTCCTGGGACTGCTCAGGCTGACAGAACTTCACCTTGAGCACAATCAGTTTTCCAGGATTAACTTTTTCCTATTTCCACGCCTCTTGAACCTACAGGCTCTTTATCTGCAATGGAATCGCATACGGACTGTCGTCCAAGGTTCGCCTTGGACTTGGCACACTTTGCAAAAATTGGATCTATCGGGCAACGAGATTCAAATTTTGGATCCCGCTATTTTTCGGTGTTTGCCCAATTTGCACACTCTCAATCTGGAGTCCAACAAGATCAGTAATGTGTCCCAGGAAGTGGTTTCATCGTGGATCTCCATTAGCACTATCAACCTGGCAGGAAACATATGGGACTGTAGCTCTAGTATCTGCCCTCTGGTGTCTTGGCTGAGAAACTTCAGGGGAACTAGAGATGCCAGTATTATTTGCAGCACTCCCAAATCTCTTCAGGGAGACAGAGTCATGGAGGCAGTGAGGAACAACTCGGTGTGCGAAGAGATATTTACTGTGGAACCGACCACGGAATTGACACTTCTTTTGACTACTACTATGACAACTCTTTATGTGACAAAGCCACCCACAACCACCACTACAACCCCACGCACCACAACGAAACAGCTTTCCCAAGTTACTCACATACAAAGACTCACCCCAAAAGTTGTATTCCCTGTTCAGTCTGACAAAGAATTCCGATCACCTCTAACAGTGACGCCTAGCACCCTACCCTTCACCCCTGAACCTGAGTTTGAACATATGACCTTCCACAAGATAGTCGCTGGCAGCGTTGCCCTATTTCTCTCAGTCTCATTAATCCTTTTAGTGATTTACGTGTCGTGGCGACGATACCCTAACAGCATGAGGCAACTCCAGCAGCACTCCATCCGACGCAAGCGCAGGAAAAAGCCTCGAGAGCCTGAACATAACATCAACTCGCAACTGCAAGAGTATTACCTAAGCTACAACCATGCCGATGCAGAGACGATAGACTCTTTGGTTAACGGGGCGTGCACCTGCACCATCTCGGGCTCCAGAGAGTGCGAGGTATGACCAACCATTAAAAAACGCATTCTCTGCACCGGGGAGTCAGAGGTAAACCTTTTTAAGAGCATGACTGCCCATTTAATTCTTTCTTCTCTTTGCCCTGTCGTTACTTTGAAATGCTCACATTTGCACGAGTAGAGGCATAGTTCACCTAAAAACAAAAATTCTCTTTTTAATTTATTCCCCAGGTCATTTCAAACATGTATGTTGTTATTGGTTTTCCCCAATGAGAATCTTAGTTCTGATTTTTTTTTTTTGTTCATATAACACCCTGTCA